GATGTTAACTGATGGACTGGAGTGCTGTGGATTACTTGTGGATTATTGTGATGTTTTTATCAGCTGTTTGGACTCTCATTCTGACGGCACCCATTCACTGCAGAGCATCCATTGCTGAGACACTGATGCAATGCTACATTTCTACAAACCTGATGAAGAAACAAACTCATCCACATCTTGAACGGCCTGAGAGTGAGCACATCTTCAGCACATTTTCACTTTTGAGTGTTCTTTAAGAGTTCATCTACTCAGTTAATTCAGTGCATTCCTGCAGTTACCTGTTCTGTATTCATGTTGATGTCTGTCTTGACCTCCATTGTGACGTCCATGTTCATCATGGTGGGTCTGACAGCGATGGTGGGTTTGCTATACGGAGAGGGAGACGTCACCCCATCCTCGTCTTCTCCGATCAGACTCGTTCGGACACCAGCGCCTCCCGCCGTGCCGGTCTGTCCGTGAGCGCTGCGAGGATGGAAGCAGTTCTTACAGGAGCCTGGTTTCCACACGTGCTCTGCAAACTCTCCACACGCAGACATTTTAACGCAGACCTCGAGCTCCCGTCTGATCGGACTCTACAGACGGTTGGAACCAACCGAGCACGGATGATGGGGTTTGGTCATAGCGTGCGGCACAGGAGATCAGCAGCCTGTACACCTGAAAAACACAAGATAAAGTGTAGATGATCGTCAGCTGGTTTATATGTTTGATATGAAAAAGCATGTGCATTGGAGAATTAGTCTTATGTTAATGGCTATTAAAACAATCATCAAACACACAGAAACTCAATAGGTCTTCACTGCAAACTGTCAAAATATTAGTTTGGTTTAACTGGGAGAAATACTGACAGAAATATTAGTAGTAAAATGAACTTCTCAAACTACTACTACTAATTATTAGGGTTGCAAAGGGGTGGAAAATTTCCAAAACTTTCCAGAAATTTTGAAAGCTTTCCAGGATATTTTGGAAAGTTTACGGAAATTTTCCGCCCCTTTGCAAACTTACTAATTATTATTTAATTAATTAAAACATTATTTTCAATCAAGAGACACAATTTTATGCAACGTTTTGTGTAACATTGTAAAGTAACTGGTGTATTTTGATGTGATTACATTTAAAAAGATTGATTATACTGTTATAGTCTTATGAATGAACTTGATTACCGCAGTTTTCGACGATAGCTGCACGTCATAAAACACAGAATCCATAAAAATGAAAAAGTATTTGGAAAAAAATTAAATACTTTCATAGCACCCTAATATGTGACCCTGCAGCACAAAAGCAGTCTTAAGTCGCTGGGGTATATTTGTAGCAATAGCCAAAATTGTATGGGTCAAAATTATTGATTTTTCTTTTATGCCAAAAATCATTAGGATATTAAGTAAAGATCATGTTCCATGAAGATATTTTGTAAATTTCCTACCGTAAATATATCAAAACTTAATTTTTGATTAGTAATATGCATTGCTAAGAACTTCATTTGGACAACTTTAAAGATGATTTTCTCAATATTTAGATTTTTTAGCTCCCTCAGATTCCAGATTTTCAAATATTGTCCTATCCTAACAAACCATACATCAATGGAAAGCTTATTTATTCAGCTTTCAGCTGATGCATAAATCTCAATTTCGGAAATCTGACACTTAAGACTGGTTTTGTGGTTAAAATTGTAATTAATCATTAAATGGTCAAAGTTTTATGAAATCAACTGAATAGGCATAATTTTTGGTTGATAAAATACACAGTCCAGAAAAATTAAAATGTAAAACTGATTTCACATGGGCTCTACAATTATCGTCATGCTGCCACTAAAAAACTAAAAAAGTTTATTTAAAGCGTTCCAAAACCCTTTGTACATTTCAAGTGTTTCTGACAGGAAAATGCACTCGTGTAAGAGACTTTGGCCTAAATAATCAGATGAAAGTTCTTCACACTTACTAGTGAAAAACAAAAGGCGCAAATCCGCTCCTTCAGTTCTCGGGCTTTCCTTTGAACAGACTTACTCACCCACAACATGAAACTCAACCACAGCCGGAATCAGGACATAAACAAACTCATTCTGTTCAAGCACGAGGACCAACAACCTCAGCGCACATATAAGTGGAGTGCTGTTCCGGTTATACATTTGTATATTTATGCATTTACTCCTGAAGTGGTTTAGAGGGTGAATATAAGCAGAGGATTTTTAACCAAACAGCCATTGTTCCCAAATAGATTAAACTGGTCAAATCCAAGAATGAATCCAGTTGAAATCAATTTGAACTCACAGAAATGAACTGATCTTACCAACTCTAATGCTAAACGCTCCAGCTCTGAGGTTAAATTAGAGATGCTGTAAAACATTGCCAGATGAGAGACAAGAAAGAATCGAATCTTAGTAACTACAAGGCCAAATAAAAGCTCATTAAATCATTTAAAATGTATAAAGCTAGAATCATGGGGAATATGATTTATATAATCAATAATAAGCCACATTTACCGTCATTTGGATTGTACCTTTAAACAAATGTGTTATGGTTATTAAATACATGCATTTTAATTTGCTGCATATTTTCAACTTTAAACGAGTTGCATGGACTTTATATGAATCTTTCCAAGTCATTCCCTGAAACCATTAGCCAGTAGCTGGAAAGCTCTAGGAATGGTTCATGCAACTTGTTTAAAGTTGAAAATATGCAACAAATTAACATGCAAATATTTAATGACCACAACACATTTGCTTAGTGGTTTACAAAGGACAGCACCAGATGGCGTATGCTCTTGATTGAGAAATCTTTCAGATCATTAACTACCTTTGCTGCGCACATGTGATTCATTTTTAGACTCTTAATTAAGAAATAAGCTCACTGCTTTCTGAAAAAGGAGGAGCAGCAGGTGCTGGAGTCTGACAGCGAGTTTCTAAACCACATTTGCAAATGTGTCTTTGCACAATGACTCAGTTTGATACAGGAATCTATTCGCAGAAGCAGTTGCTGTTATATTTAAAGGCACGGATGGTTAAAACAGGAAATAACGCGACCTTTTTCAAATAAGACTGCATACATGAACCACAGCAGCTGATTTCACTCCCGTTTGGTTTGTGTTTGAAGTGTCAGCCTCAGGTAATGATTCATTTTACTTTGGCAAAAATGGAGAATGTGGCCATAAAGATGTGTACCTCTTACTGTGGCTCAGATATCTGAAATGTCTTAGAGTGAAAACAAATCTGTGAGTTTTTGCACCATCGCTCGTGTCTGGTGTGCGAGAAGACGCTGTTGTGGTGTGAAAGCTCACCGTGGTGCGAGTCTCCCCTTCACATTCCTCACATTCCTCCCGTCAGAGAACGTTCCGGCGGCGACGGCCTTCGAGAACGCTTTCTGAAGCCTGACACGGAAAGAACAGAAGAGCCTCTAATTTTGGCGGCCTGGGAAAGTGGCACGAGGTCAACAATCCACTGCCCTTCAATCAAGCGCTGATGAATCAATCAGTGGCTCTGTTTTAGTCTGTCTGCTGGCACGTCGAGGATTATTTGGGTTTTAAAGACTGCAAAACAAACTAGAACCATTTTGGTTCCCCAAAGAACCTTTTTGCTCTACAGAAAAAAACTATGTGCATTGGAAAAGTTTCATAGATGTTAAATTATGTGCATTTAAAGACTCTAAAACAACCATTTTGCACTTAAAAATAAAGTTTTTTTAGGCTTTGATGATTGCATGAAGAACTTTTAAGATATATGAAACTTTTTCAATGCACATTGATTTTTAGAGCAGAGAAAGGTTCTCTTGATTATTAAAATGTTCTTCACTTTAAGATAAAAAAATATATATATTTTGGGAAAGACATTGAAGAATTAAAGACACTGAAGTATAATGACTTCTTAAACAACATGGCCAAATAAATGGTGCACTGCTTACTTTCACAAATCATTATGAATTTATCATGAATATCCAATATATCACCCATAAACCATATTAACACTCCTTCATTTGGACTGAACCATCTTAGTTTATGCTTCACAGTCTTTAAATGCAAATTCGACATGCTACTTTAACATCCATGAAACTTTTTCAATACACAAAAGTTCTTTAGAGTGGACAGATGTTCTTTGAAATATTAAAACGCTCTTCACACTTAGAAAAAAAAAAGGTTATTTTGGGGAAAATTATGAAAAATTAAAGATACTGGAGTCTAATGATTTCTTAAACTCTATATGGCCAAATAAAAAGTACATTAAAATCACCTCAAATGGTGCTTTATTTTATATTTGCTGACTAGTCGTTGTGAATATATCATGAACATTCACCCTTAAACTATATTCACACTCCTTCATTTGGACAGAACCACCTTAGTTTATGTTTTGCAGTCTTTAAATGCAAATAATCTTTGATATGCACTCTTAAAAAGAAGCGTGTCTGTGGTGCAATGAAGAACCCTTTCCATTCCACAAAAGGTTCTTTAAAGAGAGAGAAAGATGGAAAAAAAGTTCTTCAAAGACAAAATGGTACTTTTAAGAACTGATCACTGAAAGGTTCTTTGGGGAACCCGAAATGTTTAAGAGTAAAGCTTTTCCGATGCACATCAGTGCTTAAGTGTGCAAAAAGGTTCTTTGGGGAAACAAGATGTTATTATTGTTAAGAGTGTGCACAAATGCAGACAGTCTGATAGAACTTCATGAGGAAAACTGCAGAAGCAGCTCTCAATCTTCAACCTCTCAGCAGCTTCATGATGTTTATGAGCTCGTGAGGACAGATGAATAATAGCCCGCAGGTTGAAGTGTCGGTGGGAATGTGGGTCGAGTCACGGCGTTAGACTCGCTGGCAACAAGTTTGACAAGTCAAAACCCACGACACAACAGAAGGAGAAGCTCTTTGTTCCTGCAGCAGCTGAAAACACTTCAGCACTTGTGAACAATGAATGTTTTTGCCTTCAGATGTTGCTCAGGGGGAAGGGTGCTTCTGCTGAGAGCTTCCAGACAAACCCCACATCTTTACCTGCATGCATTTACTGTGCAATCAGACCTGAATGTGTTCAACTGCACGCTTACTGCCAATCACACCAGCCATAATGGTTCATAAACCAACATGCAACATACATTCTGGTTTTGTTCAGCCACAAATTCCATATCACATTTCACTTCTTTGAAGAAACCAAGTGAACCATTTCAATTCGAATTGAAAGGCTGAGAAACATTTTACAGAACTGTTCCAGAATTTACCAAACTATTCGTTTCTATAGTTGTGAAAATGTGCTATAATTAGAAAACGAATGAAATCAATGACAACAAAGCGATTCTGGATCTTGTTTGAAGATCTCATAGTCATTTATTATGATTCTACTCCTGTAATGAGCAAATATTTTGGGCCAGAAACTATGATGGGAAATTGATTATCACATGCATAATCCAATTTCGCACCGGGTTAGAAAAACCAGCATGTCATAATCAGCGAGAGAAATGCGCGTTATGTCGAAACAGATTTCAGAAACGCTGACAGGAACATCAGAGAATCATAAAAGCAGCGTGAAAGAGCGAGTCGCGTCCAAACCACCTTCACACCAATGAATGAAGCAATGCGGACAAAATCCGCTCCATGTGAAATCAGTCTGGATTTGTATTTGAATCTGTTTCTGAAAGCGGATCCAGATCAAAGCTCCAGTCTGCTTTAATGTATCCGATCCACGCGTGACAGAAACACGCCAGAGAGCAGATCGCTTGGTCTTACCTGCGCTGAAACAGACACGCTCGGGCTGCTGGATTCCCACAGAAGACACGCGTGATTCCGCTCATTCACTGAGGACAGACCGACGGAGAGACGCGGAGACACACAGCGCAGAGCGACAGACAGCAGCGCCGCGTGACTCTGATCTGATTAGACTGAAGCGACGCGGCCCACAAACTCCTGCAGAGGGGGCGGAGCCTAACACACACTCACACTCACACACTTAT